GTGTGTGTGTGTGTGTGTGTGTGTGTGTGTGTGTGTGTGTGTGTGTGCATGTATATGGGTTTTAGTGGGAGAGGGACTGAGAGTGACAGAAAAAGTAAGGGAAAAGGGCAAGTGAAGGTAGAAAAAAAATAGGAAAACGATTAAGAGAGTAGAAATAATGTAGTTTTAGAAAATGTTGCAAAACCTTTGAAAGCAGGAGAAGTATTATCTACTCAAGGGAGTGACAGAGAGATGAAGTCATGGAGGCCATACTTAGCTAATGCCTGCAAATGCAATCTTAATGATCATGACCCTTTCACCTCGGCTGGTAGCCTTTGTTTGACCTGTCGCTCTTCAGTCAAATTGCGCAGTAAATGGACGTGCAGTTCATGTTTTAAACATTGTTGTGTCATACTATTGCTAATGAGGCAACTTGAGTTGCTTCGACAAGCATTTCCCTGCCCTCTCTCTATGTCTTTGGTACTACTTTTCTCCTGTTGAACATCAGCCTAAGCCCTTTGTACATATTTTGTATGACAGTGAAGAATTCTCGAGGTCAACAACAATGACAACAAAAATAAGCATGAAGAAAAAATCAAAGGGTTTTTAAACAAATTCACAGATAAGCACAAAACGAAAAAAAAATCTTTATATCATTCTAAATTACTGTTATAATCCATATAAGGCCACAGTTTATGATATTCTTAATTGATTTAGCCTTATAACCATTATTTACAACACATACACTAAATAGATAAACAGATTTATTCTACCATGCTGCACCATTCCTTTGAATAATTACAGACATCTCAGAAAATCACTGTAATACATAAAGTGTTCCACAAGTAAACTTAACATGGTGATACACTTTGGTCAACTCAATATATATCAAATGTTTACTTACCCACTACAATAATTAATTCCCAAAAGTGGTTCATTACCTCTATTTGATTAATGCTGAGATCCACTATGTCTACTGACTTTAAAAAGTACTCATTCAAATTTTATTTTATTTAGATTTTCTTACCATATTTAAACAGATCAACACAAGACTGAGTGCTTCAAAATGATTCAGTGCGAAAATAGTTTGAGATGGTTTCAGGAGATTTGTGTCGGTCTTGGCCATTATGTTGGATTGATAGATTAAATTAATGTATATAGAACAGCTTGCTCCTAAAGGAACTTCTTTCCAAAGATTCAGTAATGACTTTGTTTCTTTAACCGTCCCTTGAGCTGTCTCAACACCATTGAGCATTTGTCAGGATTTATCCCAAGTTTGAATACTTCTTTCATCTCATCTGTTTTATTTTGTGCATTGGCAGAAGATTTGCTAAGTAACTTAGGGAAAATGCAAAGGCTTACCAACATCCGCTGTGTATTTTTGACTTGTTGTACGAACTTGGTGGGGACTCCAAACCAGTTTTTTTTCCTGTACTTTCAACACAGGAACTATGATGAGAAATCTGGTTGCATGTTATGCTGTGATTCAAAGCAGGTTGGAGGCATTAGCCACACCGGTGATTTGCTCACTGTGCTGTTTTACAGTCAGCATACAGGCAAATCGCCATGGAACACGTTAGGCTATAATAGTAAGAAAGTAATCAGCAGTCAGCTACCTGAGGCGTATTCATCTGTACTTATCACTCCTGTCCCCTGTGTACTTTTCCATACCTGTATATCTTTCTTTCTGCATAGGCTTTGTGTCTGTCTGTCTGTCTCCATGCCTTCCAGCTCAGCACCCACCACTTCGTCTTGTTGTTTTCGGGGTTGAAAAGATAGCACAAATAATAGGAGTGGCAAATTTGTATGAGAGCACGAGCTATGTTTTATTCAAGTAGGTACGGTGGTGTCTGGTGGCACAGTGGTGTGGTGGTTAGCACCATCGCCTCACAGCAAGAGGGTTTTGCGTTCAAGTCCCCGGGGGAACCAGGACCTTTCTGACCCCGTGTCTGCGTGGGATGGGGGGAGTTTGGCAAATTAAATTGCCGTCTTAAATGAGATTTGTATGGTTGTTTTGAGAACCATTCATGCTATAATGTGGGACAGAAAAAAAAGGAGAATGCTGCACTCAAGTTTGCTGATTGGGCACTTTGAATTTTTGGTGATCAAGAGGAACTTGATGCAATGTGGTCAGTGCACATAATAATACTTATACATACATGTACATAGATACATATCATGATTTATAATGATAGGATTTATTACAATTGCCGTTGATTGATGTCTGTTTAATTAAACTCAACAGTTTTGAGCTTATCGTTGAAACTGACAGTATGCTATGTTGTAAATATGATTACCTTCAGCAACGTCATTTGACAGGGGTCTTTGGTTCAGATTTAACAAAATCCGACTGATCACTTATCTAGCATGTTTTTTTAATGACTGTTATGTGTTTGACTGGCCATCTGTCTTTCAAGGCCTAACTCCTAGTGCGTGCACGATCAGCAGGTCAGAAAATAGATGGGAATAACTTTGTGTCACTCAGGGAACATATTTGCCTGTGTAAAAAAAATGCATGAGTTCCTTTGACCCTGGGGTACTGTACTGTTCTTAATCCTACATCTCCCTTTTGCTAACATCCTTTATTATGTGGTGCCAAACCAACTCAAAATTATTAATTGACAGGTATTCAAGATGATGTGCTGTGCTACTGATAAATTAAAAATAAAAACAAATGTTTTTGAGTGATATCCATGATGTATTTTGCATCATTTTGATTTATCTCATAGTATTATATATTACAAATGCGTAAGTAGATAAGGATATATCATATTCTGAAATCAAAATTGAGCATTACAGGTCTATTTGATTTATGGCCACTCACTTAGAAACCCAACCAGTTATGCTTCTCTGCATGGCCCATTGTCCTCTGTAGTGTCCGAATGCAAAATGGATCCATCATGAATGCAAATCACTTGCAATGTTAAAAGCTAATGTTGCCTCATGTCCATTTGTGTGGTAATGTCAGAGGTCTGTCCATTCGAAACACTTGTATTTCCATTATGAAGAAACATATTACAACATTATAACATAATTTATCTCCTACAAAAAGCCTGTGTCATCCAGAAAGTTTTAACATGTACTAAGATTATTTATGAGCTGGTATGAAAAAATAAAAGTCAGACAGTATTTAATATTAGGTTAATTGTTTTCTATGTTCATGATAAAGCAGAGATGGATATACTTGAGGAACTACTAAAGCCTACATTGAGAAGTGGAGCATCTCCACGTGTTTTGACTCTTAAATAAAATGCTTCTATGTGAATATAGCAAGACAGAGAACCACCCACAGGCAATTTCAGAGTCTCCAATTAACCAAGCATGCATATTTTTGTGCTGTGGGAGGTAACCTTGGTATCAATGTAGAACCCAAGAACCCATGCATACACGGGCAGAACATGCAATATCACAAAGCCATGACATGAACCGGAAACTCTCTTTCTGTGATGGTAACCAGAACACCACTGTTATTTAAGTTGTAAGCTTTACAAGTGATCTCATGAAAGAGACGCTCTTTATTCGTAACCTAAAATTACTTGTACATGTGTTGTTAACCACATGAAAATGCTGCACAGAATGTTAACAATTTTTGGGGAATCCTTTGATATGGGTTGGCAAAACAGCATGTAGATAGTATCTGGAGTTTTCTCTCTAGCAGAAGGATGAGGTCCTTGTCTGAATGAAGTTATATATCTTTATAGATATTTATGTACACGTGGACAAGCTGGAATTTTTTCTTATGAGGCGCTTCTAAGTAACAGCAGAGTTAAACAGAGTGGGAAAGATTTCTGTTCTACTTGGTGGTTCACATTCGATGACATGTTGGACTAATGTTTGCATTTTGCAAACCTCCATCATGAATATTACATTGAAACCATCCTTTTCCCTTTGGATTCCTCATGTATAGAAAGTCTTTAAATATTTATGCAGCTTTGAGTAAAGCCTTGAAAGTTTTAAAAACCCAGATGCTAAAGTAAACGGGCCGTCAGACTCTGACATTACTACTAGGCATATTAAGCAGCGGATAGATTGAGCTTTTAGATTTAGCATAAATACTACGGAGAGATTTCTGGCTGTGGCACACAATGCATCTCTTAGCTAGTTAATATTGTAGTAAGAAAGATTGACATTTTTTCATTTGAAATCACTATTACACTATGAACCAACAATGATCTTTCAGCCTGTATATTTCTGTTTAATCACTTTATTTGAGTTGACTGAGAAATAACGTGCAGGTATTATCTGAAAATTTGTTTAAAATATATATATATATATATAAATAGATATATATATCTTTAAATCACTAAATTTTATCATATATACCTCTTTGGATCTCACAAAAAGGTTGGGTACAAGTCTGTCGTGCAGAGGCAGCTTTTAGCGATCATATCACAACAGGGTGAAAAGTTTTCACGGAGCCGATCCTGGGATTGATGTGGTTCCATTAGGGAGGACCTCAGGACCTGTGAGTGGCAGAGATGTAGCCCAGTATGACATCCGTGTCAAAGCCTTAAACCTCAGGTAACGATGACTGACAAGTCACAAGGTCCAAAAAGAAACAAAAGGCAGGCAAAAGCCATCTGATGACCAGCTGACTGCCAGCTTCGGCTTTTGTCTTCTAATGTGGCAAACTGATATAGATATAAATATAAAAGGTTAAATACCAACGGTTAAAGTGGAATAAATCCTGCTGGAAACTTACATTTATTCTATTTTTATCAGATACACAGTTTTATACATGAAGTCAGTTTAGAGAAATTGATAAACCACAGATCTCTTGAAATAGAACACTTTTGCTCAAATACAATGCCTTCGATTTTCACTTATCATTTTGTATAAGACTTCTCTCCTTTGAGCTTTGGTAACATGGTTTAAAACAATGTTACCTTTTGTAAATGCTAAAGCTACAGACATTTTGATGTTCTTCTTTTAATGTAGTTGTTTATTTCCATTTGGTGTCATAAAAGTCCACAGTGCTTCATGTAGACCCAAAATGCAAATTTGTTTCTTTGAAAGATATCCATTGGGATGGTAACTGATAAAAAAGCCTATTGAAAAGTTAATAGGCAACTTTTGTCTGAATAGCAATCCCAGACATTTTGTGGAATATACCAATTAAATGTTCAATTGCATGTTAGCGAGGAGGTTATACATTTTTAAAGTATATGATGCTTAGACAGCCATACTGAGGCTGGTCAGAATTGTCATATAGTCAACAAATTAAGAAAATTGGTTTACATATTTTCTTTTATGTAATCTTTTATGTATTTTTTGTTCATCTTGTTGAGACAACAGCATCAGAGTCAGTGACTCATCATTTGAACAAACCCATAAAGAAGGCGAGTTGGGCCAGGCATTGCTCTGATACCCTTATCACTGACTTGACTGACCAAACACTGATTCTGTTGGAATAAGGACTGCTTCCCGTGTGGCAGCCTTACAAAAGGAGTCTCTGCAATGACCATGATCCAATGTACTGCTGCTCAATAATAACCGATTAAACTTTAGTTGATGGCGAAATCAATTACGTTTTTATTGCTCCGTTATGAAGACTTCCATTTGACCTTAAATCCCAGAAATGTCCAAGTACACTGTTGAAAGATTTTTTGTAAGATTATAAATCAGAAAGTCAATTGAAAATGACCAGCACCATTGACAAAATCCGGCATTGTCTGGCCTCTGCAAAAAAAGTGGGATAAGGGGCAGTAATCAAGTTTTTATTATGACATTAGTCAGTTTGGTTCACATTAATTTAGTTACACACCCTTATTTGGTGTTTCTATATATGAGATATAAGGTAAAGTGTTTTTTTATGAACTTGCTTTGTGAGTCCACACAAAACAATTAGCAAAACTCACTGATTTTAAAACTGTTTTTTGGAACACGGACAACTTTTAATGTAATTCCCAGTTGCCACTTCTGATCTCAAAGATGCAAAGTTACTCTCATCTTGCTTATTGATGCTAAGTTAGAGGGTTGTGAAAAATTCTTACATTTCAGAGCTGAAGGCAAACATGCAGAGGAGGCCCTGTTTTACACAGAAACGCATAACAGTTTTTTTTTTTGCCTCACAGAGCAATTGCTGCTGAATTAAATTGCTGCACTCAGCCAACTATGTGGGAAACCTTCAACAAATCTTTACAAAGATGCACAAAATAGTTGGCTATTTTCTGTAAGTAGCATCTGCTTGTTGGCCTGGAAAGGTTTTACCTGAATTTTAATCCAAAACTTAACCTGAAAATAAATATGTGTTATTTTGAATAAATAATTAATGGAGTAACATAATTTGTGATGTCTGACAAAGAGAATATCACCAAACCAATAAAACTAGAAAGAGAGCATGCTGTTCATAGTAATGGGAAAATGTATTGTTAATAAGAAGAGATCACACCTTAAAATAGAAGAGTGACAGCCTTTGTAAGGATAAAGCAGTGTGAAAAAAGCATTTCTCTTTTCTTCCTTTTCCTTTCCTCATCTTCATCTCTTGACCTTTATGTGTTTCTCACACTCACATTGTCAGCATGAAATATTCCCCACTCATTCTGCGTGTAATGCCAGAACTACAGAAAGGGATTAAACTAATAATCACCCTTCCAGTAGCTTTGGCCTGGAGAGGTTGCAAATTACTGCAGTCACCATTTGAAGCGCTTGTCATGCTACAAGTAGATGAGACATTTGGGAGCAGTGGGATCACAGGGGAGAGAATGCAACAAGGCGGCAGCGACTTACGATCAATATTTCCTGCCAGTTACCTTAATGCACATGACCAGTAACAACCGCCGTTATGCCCTCAACCACAGTACCTGACATAATTAATTTATGCTGAACTAGTTTTAAGGGGTCAAGTGTTTAAATATTTTGGGAAAGCAAATGAAAGTGAAGAAAAAGCTGTAAAGACTGGAAAGGCAAAATGCTAATTTATTTAAATTGAATTATTATTTGTTTTCAATTATTCTATTTACTGTGTGTGTTTAACTTTAAAAAAGTCCCCTGTCCCTTAACAAATGTTCCCTCAAATATTTTTTTCTTTTTTTAATGCTTAGATGTTTTAAACTAAATAGATTTGAGATTTAAAGCTGTCATGCCACACTGACTCACCATATTGTCCTACAAAACAAATAACGATCTGATGTATTAAAAGACAGATGCTCAGAAGCTGCGATTAGATTTACAATCTATTTTTTGAAAGATGAAAAATATCCCTAAACCCCTGTTGAGATCTGGAAGAGGATCAATGTAACTAGGCCATTGGCTTTTATGACATGGCAGATTTCTTTCTTTTTTCTTTTACACTCAATTCGCTCTCACTCATCTTTCTCTGACTGGCTTTCTCCCCCCAACCTCCCCCCTGGATCATTTATGTGGACGAGAGGGAAATGAATCACATTTGAAGTAGTGAAGGAATAACATTTCATGTGAAAACACCTCGGCTTTTATGGCTTTACTAAATGATCCATAATGCAGGCAAGGAGTGCTCAGTCCTGCAGATTAAGGCGGGTCCAGGCAGCAGAGAGGCTCCCGGTTGCAGCCGTTAGACCCTCCGCTGAAACCCGCACGCGTACAGCTCCCGCTGAGATAGGCACAAATCTTTTTTACGAGGCTGCCTCTTAAATAGCTGTCAGTCTAGTGTCTCACATGCAGCACACTCCTCCAGCTCCCTTCCGAGTAATTGAACCATCTCTCCCAGAGTGCTGAAATGGTGTGGGATGCCATCTCCACTGCCCGTGTTGATACCATTAAACCAAACTCATGCATAAATCTAATGGCATAGCCAGTGTCACCATACCGCAGCTGAATCCTTCACACCCCAGATTCAACGTCTTCATCACTTCATTTCACCAGATACAGTTCCAAGGTTAGTTTTCATCTAAATCTATTATACTCCCAAGTATATTGTTTTTTCCATATACCTAATATGAAACACAGAACAGAGGTGTGAATTTTTGTTCTCTTAACCAAACTGTTGTTGAAATTGATTGAAATATTCTGCGTTCAAGTAACCAAAATTATAAAAGATAAAACAAAATTTTGAAAAATGCCATGTTTCAGTGTAATCATAGACTTATTACTTTATTTTACGAGTATGGTAATGTGTGAATCCCACTAGCTCAAACTCCAAAACTGAACATGAATAGTAGAAGAAAATAGTAGAGAAGTAAATATTCATATAAGTCAGCGTTACAACAGCAAATGTTTATCAAGTCTGTAAGAAGACTTGATAAATAAGTCATTTGCACCCTCAGTGGAATTACAGAGCAGAGGGACAGTGTGACCCTGCCTCATCTTTCACAGTGAGGCAACTCATTGAATGAAACATCTCTATACAATGTTTCTTTTGAGGACGGTCAAAGAAAATAAACTACTGAAAAGGCAAAAGTGTGGATTTCTGTCACATAAGGCCAGGTTTTTTGTGAAGACATGAAGACAGCGCTGTCTGTAGTTTCCTTGAACCTTTTTTAAATATAGCTCAACATGTGCTTGCCATTTCAATGCCTGATGTGACCGAAAAGATTTCTGTTACAAGAATTTACTGCCGCCTTTGCGCGTTTTTCTGTGTTCCCTTCTTGGGTTAAAAAAAGTTGTATGTTTTCTGATTCGTTTATATATATTTTTTTCTAAACCCTGCAAACTCATGCATGATTATTGTTTAGCAGTTGACAGAATTTTCAAAAACTAAAGAGCTGTAATGTTTCTCATCAGAAATGATTCCTCTAGGATCACTAGCCTGCAGTTTAAAAACAACTAGAACAGCTTAAATATTACTCTTGATATCATAAGCAGGCTTGCTGTATGAATATGCGCAGAAAATAAAATAGAACGTTGTATTTTTTTATTGTGATTAGACCAAACTAAAAAGAAACACAACCCATTTAAATGAGCCCACAAGGAGAAAACAACTCCCTTCATTTTTTAAAATTAAAACCATTATTGCTTCAGTGCTAGCTCTCTCATCTGAGAGCAATTCGGTATTGAAGTTTTATTATTAAAAGAAAATAATTTATTTCGAAAATGCATATTTGAAACCTCTATCCAGAAGACATGCTTTTCTTGATTGTTTGATACACGCATTATATTTCAATCTAAGGAAAGCCTATTCTGAACCACTTTTCATCAACAACAAAATCTGCCTGAGTGATGCTAACAGTTACTTTTAGTAATGACCCTTAAGTAATTACTTTTCCTCTGAAAAACTCAACTTAAATAAGCATCCGTGTGCTGAACTCTGTGCCTCACTTTTCTGCTTAATATAAACACAATAAAGAAGCATTTGCATTTATATAGTTCTTCCAAAACCAACTGAAACTGCTGCCAGCAGTATTCAGAAACAGCTGAGCGCCAAACTGATTGTTACCTGAGGAAAATTAAGATAAGAGAGTAATCCCATGGACGAAAATGGCTTTGTTGGACCCACAGCAGCATGGCCGACCAGGTAAGCAGAATTAACAAACCTCCCCGTCTATCGAGAGTAATAAAAATACTTTGCCTCTTTGCATTCTCCTGTTTTTGAAAAGAATGATATCACTCATTCCTCAAATGGAATGCAGCATTTTTGATCCTCCATGGATTAACCTGATAGACATAGTTGAAATTGGCCGTGACTGTGTGGTGTGTCTCAAAATATTAATCAGGCATTGCAACCGAGATGTGTGCAAACCTTTAAATTCACTCTTAGCTGCAATGCATCGCAATCCAGGTTTAACTGAAACCCTCACAAAGTACCTGACTGTTCCAGAGCTCAAAACCGTTTGGTTTGGCATCTATTTGAGAGACATAAATGTGTCCATGCTTCATATCAGTGGCCAAAGTGGCCAGCTCCTATACGCGTAGAGGAGAGTGCTGTAAGTGACGGAGGCACAGCAATAATCTGAGCCATGTGATGTAATGGTTGACTGTGTTTAATGATAATCCACTGGCCTCACAACCCCCACCCCGCAGGATCTCTATTCAGTGACAGGAAACAAACAGCACTCTGACACCTACCGCTAATTAGCCTCATTAGCATACGGCCATTATGTAGCCGGACAGTAGCATGACAGGACTCTGAGAAGAGCTACACTGGTGACCTTTAGTGGACAACACCAGCTGTCAGTAATTACCATAGCACTGGCCAGAGGGATGGAGACAAAGACTGACTCCTTGTCCTTGAGGACCTGTGGCACGTCGGAGCATCATCTTTTGAATCCGCTACGCATACGCGAAAGCACATATGGAAACCGCATAAATGAGCCCAAATCGGGGACAAGCATTCACTTGTTCTTTCACCGTATAATGAGGAATCGCGCCGGTATGTGCTTCCACAGGCGGCTTGTGTGTGCGTACCTTTGACAAGTGTACTGAATCAAGACGGAAATAATGTAAGCTTTGGCTAAGTGGCGATAATGACCTCTAACTATTTGTTGAACATTTTCTTTGCATGTAACAAACCTTAAAGATGTTAGGCTGTGTTTCCTTCATCTGCATCAACATCTGATGCCATACAAACATAATCTGATCACTGTTGTATCGAAAAGGTAGATTGGAGGTCAAAGGCCAAACCTCCAATTGGAGGTTGAAAATGTTAGCATGGAAAATTATGTGCACAGAAGAGAAATAGATGCACTCACAGGTTCGCACACTCTTCATTGAATCTGAATCATACCAGCACAAACTATCCTTCTATAAAGCATTTTAAAAGAGGATAGGTTTACTCACATTGTGTTTTACAATCCTTCAACCCCTATGTCCTCTTGGCTTTAAAGTCATTGTTACCCTTTGTGGCATTGTGTTGTGTCTCTCTGACAGGAACATCTGTCATGAAGGTAACTGCATCAGATGCGGATGACCCAACATACGGAAGCAGTGCCAGAGTGGTGTACAGTGTGCTGGATGGAGAAAAGTTTTTCACCGTTGATAGACACACAGGTAAGGAAACACTCCCTTGAACTGCCATTTATTTCCTTCACTATGTGAAAAAATTCTTGTGCCCTTTGTTCTTTCAGTGTCACCTCAAGTGATCCGCAGTTCAGAGAGAACAGTGCGAAAGATCAATCAAAATCGCTTGCCAGAAATATAAAATCAATTGGCCAAAGAGAGGCCATGTTACACAGTGACTCCTCACTGCAGCCACTCACAGTATAGTGCCCTTTTGTTTAACCCAGCTAAGCTGGTTTGGCCCATTTGGGTTTGGTGCCACATTTCAGCCAAGAGGCAGCACATCAGTAAGAGAAACAACTTACTAATATTAGAAAGATATCATCGTTGCAGTAGCTTAACTCTGACAAACTATATTGCTTATTCTTTAAACAATAATTAAAATTATTATTGATTCTACTAGATTAATATCTGTTGAATATTTACAGTGTCAAACCACAATATTGTCTCTAATTTAATCAAGTTGATAATCGTGCAGTTAAATCAAATGAATTCTGTGTAGCATTAAAGCTGAAGTTTTAATAAGGGCATATACTTTCAAGTAATCATATAGAAGTTTTTATATTGCAACCATGTTTAGATATGGTTGATGAACAGTATCACTTACTGATACAATGAAGATATCTCCCTACAGGCACAGAGATTGTTGGAGCAGACCTGACCATCTTTGAAGCGTAGCTTAGCATTGCTATTGCCTGTGAATGATACCCCCGGGGGAAAACACTAAAGTTTTAATGATTCCCTTTTTGGTGTCCACCACTTTGATTTGGTCAGCCTAGGTGCCTGGATGATTAATGGCTCTGCCTTGGTGGGACAAGCCAGGAGACTCGATGGTTCATTCCACTTTCTACCTCACGACCCTCATTCCAACAACCACCTCTCTCCATCTTGTAGGCAGACGGGCAACAATAATAGGTGCAAGTCAAGAAGGTCAACATAAAGAGTAGACAGAGCAGCTGTGGAATTTGCCTCTTACTCTCACTCACCCTGACAACAAACTAAAGCAGCAAGTCACTGTTTCTGTTTGATACATTGGACATGTTGCCATGTCCTGCAGTGGTGCACAAGTTTGTGATGTCAAGTTGCGTCATATTTGAACATACCGAAAAGAAAAAAAAAACTTTGAGTGAATTTCTAGAGAAGTATAAGATATTTTCCCTGTAGGTATAGCTAAGTTTGCTCACTAAACAACAACAGCAATAACAAAAAAGGAAAATCACAGAAGGAATCCTTACACAATGTGCCGTGTAGTTTGAAGTGGCAACAAATGCTCCTGACTGCCTTGCAGAGCCTCTGAATGCTTTCATGTTGACATGTGTATTCTTTCACATGCCACCATAAACCTTCACAATTATATCACAGCAGCGAGGGGCTGCTGTCTGCTTCTTGAAATGCAAAACGCTACTCTGCGGTTTCACTGGATGCACATTGTTTTATTCTCAGGATTTTCTTTTTTTTTTGGTCTATGCAAACATGGAGCCAGTCACTGCCTCCAAAACACATGAACTACAAAGGGATCTTTCATATTCAATGCTTAAGAGAACAGGAAAATGTACATAGAAAGAACAAAAAAGTTTCCGTGTATGGATACAGTTTTCTTTTATTTGTCGATGTGACATTTGTTCACTCCAGTGGCCTCATCTGTGAAACTTCAGCAATTAATCATGTAAAATATATGAAACACTGCTTTATGTGCACCGTGGACAAAATAAATGGTTAAGCTCTGACTGATAGCTATTTGCACACAATATACCATGACTTACAGAAAGACTGAAATTTGTTTTTGTTTCTGAAAGCAATTAGACAAACTTTGCACGATGGATATAAGAAGAAAACAGATATTACAAGCATAAAAATAGGTTGAATTGTTATATAGCATTGCTTAATCTATGATATTCTCGCCTTTGTGATACATGAGTTGGGATAAAAATCTTTTAAATCTAACAGACTGATAACTGATTAATATAGACTATGAAGAATCATCTAACTGCAAAGGTTAAACCATGATGTTGTAGCAGTATATTTATTGCAGATTAGGGCTTCACTTTGAAGAACCTTAATTTAGATGCATTCCCTCTGGCCTCTGGTGGATGAAAGAGGAGCATGTCATTTGTCTCCCTACTTAGCTCCACAGCTACATGCACTTTACTTTGGGTATTTGTGGAATATGGCTCAAAGTTAAGTGTGACCGAATTCAGTGAGCTGCAAACCAACACAATGTAAAACTTTGGAAATGGGAAAGCACACAAAGATTGGGAAATGCATCAAAAGATTCTGATATGGAAAATCGCAAAGGGTAAAGTGGAATTATATCAGCACTGCAGTGTAACGCAGCAACCACTGATGCTAAACCAAGAAAGGTCTGGTGTACAAATGTACCCCTACCTTTAAATCCTAAAACAAAGGTGAAAGCATACTCATTTCTATCCATTTCCCAGGTCTATAACTGTGTGACAGTCAACCACAACAGAGAAAACAGTGGGTCAACAGGAAGTTATTACCCGCATTTAAAATGTTCCTTTCGTTCCAGATACATACTGTACTTTCAATTGTTGATGTAAAAGTAAACCAAACCATGGGTTATGTCTGCCAGTGCCTCTTTACACTTATTGCACATCATATCACTTTCTTAACTGAATGTCCTCTTACATGCTTTCTGAATATCAAATTGTCCTGCATGAGTGCAGTCTTGCCACCATGGAGGAGTTGTAATGCTGTTCAGGGTGGCTGTGGCATGCTTTCATTCTGCTCCTATATATTATTCATTTTAATACAGCTGAGCCATAAAATGGTGTATGTACAGAGGGCAAACATGACACAGCCTCTCCACTCCAGTCCATTTGAAGAGTAAAAACTGGAGTATGCCGCACTCGAGTCTCTATAGTGTAACACTTATCCAAAGCTGATATTCACCTAGAGAATATATAACCAATTCTTTGTATTCTTTGCAAGCTCTGACGACTAATGTAACTTTTCTAGAGGCCTCATTTTTTGCCACTTATTCTCCTTCTCTGCCCTTTTATTTGAAACTCTCATCCCTTTCTCAATCATCAGGGATCATCATGACAGCAGTGGCAGATTTGGACCGTGAGACACAGGATCGTTATGAGTTGGTTGTCAAGGCAACAGACATGGCAGGACAAATGGGTGGTCTTTCTGGCTCCACCACAGTGACAATAGTGATCACAGACGTTAATGACAACCCACCGCGCTTCCCACAGAGTGAGTGTATCCTGCACATTCTCTTGCCTGAGACTGAAAAGGAGATAGCAGTGTAGGAGGAGAGGCACAAAGCAGTTGGAAACGACAGACAGACTGCTTTTCAGATTGAGAAATAAGAGCATGGTAAAAAAGAGATAGAGTGTGCCTTGCAAAACTACAGGCCAATGACACCAACAGGCAGTGGCATGAACGGCCTGTATGCAGTCTGAGGAAATCATCCAAATTAAATTTATGGGCCATTCCTACCAGCGGCCCATAGCAAAGTAGTCTATCAAATGTGGAGAACTGATGCGTTCCACTACACATTTGATCATTCATTTTAAGTAAGGCTCATAAAAGGTTGAATCAATATAGTTGATTGTAGATTAAATTGGCACGTTGGTTTTTTGGCTTAATGGCTTTGAGTGCACATGCCCATCAGGCAGATTTACATTATGTCCCTAAAATCAAACCTATCTTACCACACAGGCACAGTTTACAGATATGGTTTTCTTTAAAATGAGCAGATGAGGAGTTTCGACATGATCAAAATAAATTTGATATGCTTGTGGTTTTACACCTTTTTAAAGTAACAATTTCATCATACCTGATATGGTATCAAGCTAAATATTAAACCTACCAACAATGTTTTAGTGTAATTGGCTTTCTTGCTTTCATTTAGTATTTTATTCATTGATTCTTGGTTTAAACCTCCACTCTAATCCCGTGACAGTGTTGCTCTTGATAAAGCTAGGGTTCCAGCTTCTGACAAGCTCCTTGAGTGTGTGTGACTTTTTCATATTTGTGTATGAATTCCGTTTTTTTTTTTTTTTATCTCTGTAAATCATATTCGCTCAGTCTTAGTGATAAACCCTGCAGAATCATAGCAGCACCAACTGCAGGATATGGGGGACAATATCTGGAATACAGTTCCATAAATCAGCTGAACAGGAAAATGACATATGGTATGTGTAAAGACTCTGATGTTTTCTCAAAATTTCTCCCCTGGGAACAAAGGTGCTTCATATTTGCATTAGTTAACCATAGCAAAATCTTGTACATATTATTTGGAAGGTTTTGCAATACACAACATCCCATCAGGCTTAGGATTTTAAGATTTAAAGGTAACATGTTATGGTGTTGAATCTTGTACTATAACGTGGCTATATTTCAACCCAGTACCGTTTATTAGATTATATCAATGCAGATTCAGTCAGATTATTTTTCAGTGTCTGAAAACAACTGCCACCGACCAAGTTGTCTTTATATAAAAACATTTCTTTTTCTGTTTTCCTTTGCCGGTGCACTGACTTTTTTGCCATGTACACAATCTCTTATTCTCTTTGTGATGCTTTATACAAATGTATCTGTACACCTTGGTTAAACTGTTTATATATTTGTCGTCTCTTGGGCCCTCTTTTCTGTTCACCAGAGATGTACCAGTTTTCAGTGTCAGAAGGAGCTGCTGTGGGGACACCAGTCGGACGTGTTATTGCTACAGATGCAGACATGGGAGACAACACAGACATGAGCTATCTGATCAAAGAGGGAGGGGAGCTCTTTAAGGTCTCCACAGATGTAGAGACACAGGAAGCTGTAGTCTCTATAAAAAAGGTAAAATCAAATTAAAGCCTCACAGTGAGCCTTTTTTTTTTTTCTGTGAACAAGTATTGATTTTTACAAGGCAAACAAGCAATTATACAAAACTTTGACAAAGTGTAGTTTCCTAGTAGACAAGTAGACTCTGGGATTTCTGAGAAGACAAATCAAATATGTAGTTGTTTAGCTGCAGTGAGAAAAAATTATCCCAAAAAATATGTTTTTGTATATTTTGAAGTAACATTACTTTGTTGCAAATGGGTGGCTTATTTTTTCGTTATGTTTTGTTTTTTTGAACATCTCCAGTCATGTTACAAGCTACATATAGATCACAGTGGGTCATTTATTGTCGATTTCCCATTTGGATAACCAATGACAGTCATCAAATTCATGAAGCGACAACTGAATCCCTGCTGGAAAAAAAGAATGAAAAGAAAATTACGACAACCGTGGTTGTCCTTATTTAATTCTTAGATTATATATTTTTTAAAGTATTCAATAAAAAAGTGTAATATATGCTAGTTGAAAAGATATATATATATATATATTTTTTTAACATGATTTCTACTCTTTTGTTTTTTGTCATACATCTTCATGCCAGTAATGATATTATGCTGTCTCAAGCACCGTATTCAAGTAATTGTAATTCAACCAGTCAGAAATAAAAGTGAGCTTTTAAAAGACTAAGAGACATGATTAAAGTTAAGAAAATTGATGATCCACTCTCAAGTATTAGAAAAGACATAGTTTTTTTGGAACAAAAGAGCTCCCAAGACTGTTATTATTTGACCAATATGCTGTATTAGAGCATCAAGAACATTTAGTTGAAAATATTAATACATCAGGAGTCTTTCTCACATGTGACATCTCACTGCTCCAAATGGGACAGTGAGGCAGCGTTAATCATTCTTGATGCAATTTCTGATTACACACTTGGGGAGGTGGAATCCATCACTTTAGAGGTATATATTTTTTATTATATTTGATTAGCTCTGGGTGTGTATTTTGGCATTGATGTGTATCATAATTTGTTTTATAAGTCAACCAGATTTTTCTTGCCCATTGTGAGGAAATTGTAGCATATACAGTTTAGCTTGTAATTTGTGATTCTTCGGGGTCTAATTATGCAAAACTGCATGTTAATGTATCTAGTTTTTGCTATTAAAACAGACTAATGACCCGCAGGTTTTTTAGCCTAATCTGAGACTGAACATACTGTTACTCACCATAGAGTGCTTATCTTCCAAGAAACTAACAGCCTTATTCAAGACAGAAGGCTACTGTTAGTGTCACCACTAAAAACTGCGCAGAGCTGCGCCCAAATATTTTATTTTGCTTTTCCTCAACCAGCTCAAGGTGCTGAGTAGGTAGCTTTTAAATGGGGGCTGGGAAACTAAATCATTGTGGACCTATGAATGTGGTTTGAGCAGTCAGATCTTTTATCCTCGATATATCTTGGGTGCATTCACACCTGTAGTCAAACTTGTCCTCGTACATTAGGATCACCCAAGACGCAGAAATTTCTGTCAATGCTTTATGTGTTCTGCTGCACTGTTTCCACCGACGGCTGGAATTTAAACCGCTGTGTTCTCTGCCGCTGCTGAGTCACTGTTTTAATCTCTTGAAATCAGTATCGCTTCTCTGCCCACTGTCACTTTTTGTCATGGATGAATATGCTATGGAAATGCTCATATAGGACATTGTGTTTTTTTCTTTTTCAGCCATTGGATTTTGAAAGCAAACGGACTCATAATGTCGTAGTAGAAGCAGTAAATAAGCATGTCGATCCTCGCTTTGTGGAGCTGGGGTCTTTCAGAGACCAGACTATTGTTCGAGTGAGCGTGTCGGACGTTGATGAGCCGCCCATCTTTCAACCAGCAGAGGGCACTATCATGGAAGTCCAGGAGGATGCCAAAGTCGGCGCGCTGGTTGGAAATGTCACAGCCAGAGATCCAGATGTGAAGAATAAACCTGTTAGGTACGAACTGATAAGACTGATTTTACCAAAAATATCAACGCATTACTATGATGTTGCAAACTCTGTGCCGCCTACTGTGAAAAATGGCTGAAGCAATTATCGGAGCCATTGACTGAAGAGCTTTTTAGGTTCGAGATTTCTAAAGTCTCTGGCCTTGGATGTTTACATTCATAAGTTGTAAATTATAACAATCATGATCCACACTGAGATGAAAATCACTACTATTTCAAATCTAGGTCGAACAAAACATCACATTATATTTGATTTGGTTTGATAGTACCATTCAGTTTGGATAGTTTGGCTGTGATAACAAAATAACATACCTATGATGCTAAATAAAATAATAATAAAATAATAATAATTTAATGAAGAGTTAGGAAAGAATAAGATTAAATTAAGCCCTTCTCAACAGATTTTTTAGCTAAAGAAATGACTCATAAACGGTAGATGCACATGTAGCTGATGGGCATAACAGGGAACCCCCGTCTTAACAACTCCTCATAAAGATGGAATAAAAGCCCAACAAAGTTCATTTCTACTAGGACAGACTGTCTATATTCCTTTCTGAGATCATTACGGGTGATAACATGATATCATCTGGTAATCTTCTGTATCAGGGTCTTTGCTTTATACGTCCTCAGAAGAGAAATTGTGCTGTGATGTGGGAAATGTAGATAAGGTCCACGACAGTCTCACTGACAGAATATCTACGGCAACACATGGAAGGCCTGTGAAAATTACCTCGATTAAAAATGCATGAGACTCGGGTTTCCAGGTATAATAAAGCACAGTACAATGGCAGTGCCGTGGTTCACTGCTGCCTTGGCAGCCTGCAGCTGAAAGTATGTGGGTGATGCATGTGCAAAAATATGTGCGTGTGTCTGTGTTTTTATGTGTGGGCATGTGTTTGAGTATAAAAAAATAAATATGTGAGAGCTGGAGATCTGAGAAGAAGTTGGCAAGGAGACACAGCTACAGATGGGGGCAAAGTGGGCAAAGTCAAAAAGCTCATGATCTCCGGAATAAGGCAGCATACCCTCTTTAACATCTGCATAATCACAGTCCCTTAAGATTTTAGTGTTAAAATGCAAGAAATATGAATCTGATCACCAAGGATGTATTTTACCACAAGATGGTAGTCATCTCAGTGAAAGCTAGCAGAAAATTACAACAAGAACTAGTTTTGTACACGCAGTACCTATTTGACTATTTCCCTTTGTAGCATTACTCTGATCTCATTAAAGGTCAATTCTGATTTCCACACGTAAAGGCTACAGTATTCCGGCACTTTGAAATGCTTTTTGATGCGGCTTACTTAAACAGCAATGCATTGAGTTGTTAAATGCATAAACCAAAAAAGACCCAAAATATGCCCCTCTTTCAAAATGTAATGGTAACCATAGATTAGTATTTTGTTATTGTAGGAGAGGTAAGGGAGGTAAGGTTCGGAATTAATACTAAAGGTAGGTAATTTTTCTTATGAGTAAACCTGAGACTGCCATCACCAGGTATGAATGTGTCATGTTCAATCTATTTGCTATTGGCTCATTTTACGTTTCTTTTTTGTTTTCAACTCAGAAAGTGCGTATGTAGCCCCTTGTTCAAAAGCATTTTTAGTGGGTTTTTTTCAGGGGCCGATTTTGATTTGATTTTTATTATGTAATCCTGGTGAATTATTGACTGTTTGATACAGTCTTAAATATATACATGGACATATACAACATATCAACCCTATTGGAGAGCATGTTTTATGGACGGATGAATGGATAGATGGATGGATGGAATTTTTAATGTTCTTTTTATTTACAGGTTCTCCATTGATCGGACAACAGACCTGGATATGATCTTTTATATTGATCCTGACTCTGGAGCGATCACATTGGGAAAGATTTTGGACCGAGAGACTGCAGGCTGGCACAATATAACTGTAAAAGCTGTTGAAGCAGGTACACTCTCTTCTACTATAAAATCAGCAACCTTTATATATATTGACATTACTGCTAAATATATTTAAAAGCTTTTTTCCTGAAATACATAGTCTGTTGCCTTCACCTGTAACAATCTTGTTGACCGTTTTGCCATTTGATTTGGAGTTGTAAAGAAAACTTTAAATATGAATCACCTGCAACATCAGTAAAGGGAATAAATGATTTATCTCCATAAGCATTTACTATTCCTGTAGCTGTGGTAACCAGGAACTGTCTTTGTTCTTAATAGCATTATGTAAAACTACATGATAGGAAAAAAAACAAAGGGAAACTGTCAAAAAAGTGCAGATTCTCATTTTTGTAAATCTAAATTTGATAAATGCAGGAGAAGATAAGTAAACACAGAAAGTGCCTTCACACTTCTGCATTTTTACCTGATACGCTGACTTAAATCGAAATTGAGAAGAGACAATGGATATATGTTTGATGAACTGAACTTTCTAAGTTGCTGACATCAATGTTTGACTGTAATGATCCATGTAATCTTCTACTCCCAGAAATATCCAGTCACCATGAGTAATACCCTCATAGCTATTGTGTTGTTGCTTCAGTTTGTAATTTCATTTTTTCCCCTTTTTTTTCACCCTTGTAGATTTCGGCTTTGGGTGTAAATAATTTGATTTGAAGTGATGGAGCATCATTAGCTTTTTTAAAGGTTTTGCACTACTTTAGCCACACCCGTCAACTACACATTTTCTTCTTGAATACAACGGGCATTTCTTTATTTAAAAGCTATATTACACTTTGACCATATATAGACTGACCTTAAAAGCTCAAAAAAGAATAAAATACGTCGTTTTAACCAGTTGACATTGATAGAAGGTTGTTTTAAACTCACCATGGGTGAAATATTGTCATAATTTTAGTCTTTGAGTTTACAACCACAGAGTTGAAAATGAATGAAGAGCATACTTTTTTCATCTTGCTGGTCCTTTTCTCATAGCAATGAAAGTGAAAAATGTAATAACTTGGGGGAGCATGGAAGTTATTTCTGTGCCATTAGAAGTAAACTTGAAAAAGGAGGAAGCCTGGTATTTCTCACTTTTTCAATCTTATACAGATTAAGTGATTTTGGGATTGCAGTGAAAGCAGAGGAGATTGGATTCTGCATCTAACTGGGATTCACCATCACGCATGCAGTGAGAAAGAAAACAATGCCGAAGAAAAGCTTATTCTAAAATGTCTTCATATTTGTTCTGCCTTCATATTTCCCCAGACTGTGATTATCTCAATAGTCAATACAGCCTTAACTGAATAGTTTGCAATCTTACCCGCCATAAACATTAAGACAAAATTAGACTGATTAGTTCCCAGAGTAATTTAAGCTCTTTTGTGTTCCATCTCTTTGTGCTTGGCATTACGTCACAGCTGCATTTTAATGTTAATTGAACATTTAAAGCATCCCCACACCTATCAATATCAGACACAAACACACGCCTGCACTCGAAAGATAAAGCTTCTCATATTGCCATCCATGGTAACATGAGCCCACAATGTCATCGGTCAGTAGCATCAGGAATAACACCCAGAATGTTTCTTTATAGCATCTTAGCTCACATACTCCCCTGAGCTACAAAGTGGGGACAGGAAAAAAGAGGAGAGGTTGTCAAAGACAGAAAGATTTATATGGAATAGGGTATGATATATTTATGCTTATGAGGCCATGGCATATAAAGAAAAAGGGCTTCAGTTTCACAATAATTAATCCATTCATGTTGGCAACTTGTACCCATTATAGCTAAAAAAAAGTACATGGCCAACTTGTCTGAGGTCACTGTTAAACTACTTTTGTGAAATAAACCTTAATTAGCCCATTCAGTTAATGACCTTTAAACTGCTGTGTGCGCACTAGTATTGGATAAGTGACACCAAGTTTCAGCCCTGTTTTACTTTCCGTTGCCTGCAAGTAACCTCTAACACAACCTCTGAAAACTCATTAAATGTCAGCTATTGCAATGTGTATATATCTGTGGGTTTTTGTTCAAGTGGAGAAAGTGTGCTTACATTTAGCCATACAGCAAATATACACAGATGAACACATACTAAAAGTGTTCGCACTGTTACTGTGAAAGACAACACAGCCCCTCATCTGAGTAGTGCTTGTCTTCCATCCACAGAGCACTGAGCACGTCAGATACTGCAGGAGCATTTAATATACTGTCACTAACCTGGGAACTCATACTTTCTGGCAGCATCCTCCATAGAAACGTATCGGGTTAAGTTAGATTGACATATAATTTTCGAGAACTGATAGCAAGTATGATACGACTGCAAAACTGCTTTTTCACCCAGACAGGTTGGTGGTAGAAAAAGAGCTTTACCCTAGGGGCAAAAAAAGATTCTAAACTAGCTCAAAGTCTTTATCTCCTGCTCTGTTCCACGGAAGAGATGTTTTCCACTGCATCACTTTCTGCATTTGCTGTGTGGCAAGTGAACACACACTCTTTGGCTTTTCATGCCATGTGAACATTATTCCCAGTAAGTCCAGATTAATGAAAGACTTGTTGCTACACGCTGAAGGTGGTATTTTCTACAAGGTTAGGAAATATCACTGAATGATGATGTGGAAAGTACAAATGCCAGTGTGCCTGTCAAATTAGTTTAAATCAAATTAGAGTGTATATAATTTGATAAAGCGCAGGACGAGGCATGTTGCAGGTGATGCATAATCCCGTGTAATTTTGAATCTTTGAATCAATGTGGTGAATGCTATAGTGAATGAAGAGGTAAATGACATATTCAAAGGCTACTTATTGACTAACTATTTTAACTAAAGTTGAGGAAAAGCTATGTGTAGTTTTGTGCTTGCTGGGAACTTCAACTTAATCCACCAAAGAGTTACTCACAAGCCAATGCGCCATATTGTGGTTTTGGTTAGTTCCATACAAATCACCATTTACATTGTGTTATGACCACCTGTAAAGATTTCAAGCAACCACTGTAAGTAAAAAGTACAGATCTGCCAATGATGTTGTCAGCTGCCACTCCTAAATGGCAAAATCAAATGTGAAATTCTTGGTTAAAATGCTGTCCTTCACAGTCTTTTCCTGTGTCATTTAAGTTTTCTCCAATTTCGTTTTTCTTTGCCCAAAGCTGTTACACATGACTTGGGGTTAAGATGTAAAAAAGAAAAGAAAAATGGATCTTGAAGGGATGAGAAAACTATACACTGTCACAGACTACACTATTTATTGGCCATGTGCACAGACACTCCATATCACAATCTGGTGAGACAGGACTATTTGAGTACACTTGTTTCTTCATTTTATTCATCTGACAAAAGTGACAGTTAACTTTTTTTTCTTCAGCAAAGTAGAGCAACCATTTGGTCATAGGCTGTATAATACAACACCCCAGACACCCACTTAAACACACTCATGCAGGCATACACATGCCAAGGCCTACTCACTTCCTCATATGTCTGTCTTCCCTGAAGTCGCGTCAGCATAATTTAGTTGCCGAGAGATGTCCTGCTGCAAGACTCTTGACAGCTGGTGTGTGTTGCACAGATGCAGATCATGCCAATAATCTATTTAAAATCTGTTCATTTTCCTCTGTCTAAAACAGATTTAGAACAGATCCAAATGAATGAAACTGTCTTAGTAACTTTTTCTTCTATGATGGATAATTTTGTGTGGGAAGGGGTGGACATCCTCCGATTTCTTAATCTGTTTTCAGTTCTGGGAATTGAAATATAAAGTGTGCAAAATTTGATCATTGCTGGTTTTTCACTCTGCCACAGCAGGGACAGCAGTGAAATTAGAAAAGAAAGAAGAAAAGAGATATCTAGCACTGGTGGAACTCATATTGCACTTGTGTTATTGCCGCTCTGGCAAAAAGCAATCAATTAAAATCCTGCATTGATGTGGGGATTATGCTATTAGTTGAGCTCAGAATTCCCATTGGCTACTGTGCAACTGTTAGTACTGTGGGGGAACAGTGGAAAAGGGCTTCAGAACATCCTTTGAATGGTTTCTTTTGTCTTGACTCTGTGTTCACCAGCATTTGCCACTGAGGAAATTTTTAAGACCAAAACTGAGTTTATATCCAACATTAGGGTTAATTTTCACAGTGTGATTGTAAGTGTGAAAGAAACCTCATTGAAACTGTTCCAAGTTGGTAAAGAGGGTCCTAAAAAGTTATTAATGGTGGGACCTGCAGGCGAATTTTGTATTTCTTTACACGTTCTGTCCATCCATTTATTGTCATCTGTTGGATCTGTGAGAAACGTTGTATGCATTGCTTCACTTGTGTATGGATTTTTTTTTTTCATTTTGAAACTAATTATTTTATTGACAACAAAAATACCATAATTAACCCAAATCTCATTGAGCCTTACATATAAATGCAATATTATGAATTTACTTTATTGCACTAAATGGTCTGTAGTAGCAGAATTAGAGCAACTTTAATTCCTTCAGTGGAATGCTCTTAACTGCAATCATTTATGTGGATATTTCCAGCAGTGAGTAATTGTAAGTGGCTGCATGTTGTTACATTTTCTGTGGGGTGCCACTCAAATGTGTTAACTGTGCGATGATAGCTGCGTATGTTGATTTATTCATAGGATGTGTTCTCTAATTAACCAGGATATCCAAACCAACACTGCAAGCAACCAGATCACTCATTAAACTCCCACATTATGTTCTCTGTGTATTTTCTGTTTCTCTATCCAACTTACATCTTCTCATAGCCACACATGCTCTTGGCCTCGGGCTCTCTTTGGTACGGTATGCACAGTGTTTTGTGTGCAAAATGGAAGCTGAATCAACATATGATTAAGAATGGAAATTAAGGTTCATGGAAATTTGTGAGCTAATTTTTTTGGCTGAACTAAATACAAAATGTTCTCGATTCCTACATTTACATTCTGGTCCTTAACAAAAACTGTCATGGTGTTTCTATAGTTCTTGTCTCATCTTGTTTTAAAAGCAAAAGTATTAAATTAAGGGACTGAATTTGTGGTTTTGTCAAAACCATTTTCTCAATGTGTTGCTTGGACTAACAGCATTAAACAGCTTTACACAATAGGTGTATGGTGGTGTCATTATTAGATAGTAAGAAAGAAAAATGGTGCCTGAATTTGTTTTTCTGTCTCTCACTGAGATCAATCAGTGTAATTCCGGTAATGTGTGTAATTTGAGGGTCCGTGACAATAAAATCCCTCAGACTGCAGCCACAATGGCAAACTGACTAAACTTGTACCTTTTCGGAAAACTGCGTACATCTGCAGCTGATGGCAATTATGCTGAGCTTAGACAAAAGGCACATTTGAATCCTGTCTATAGCAGCCTATTATTGAAAATCAGCAAGTCAGCAGCATTGCAGCTGCAGCAACAGTCATCTGTCAATGTCCACATGATTTCAAGGAGCTAAAGTACTGCTGTGTGTTAAGCTGCATTTTGGCAAAACTGTCAGCCAAAATAATAGACATGGTTACACCTAATTCTGTAGATAATAGGCTTTGAATGTAAAGAAATATACGCTTTGGGGTCACAGTAATGTGTCTTCAGTGTAAGTGTAACATTGGATGTTGACAGTTTTATTGGATAATGTAAATCACTATTGTTGGATGGCTGGAAAATGTGGGCGAAATGCCTCTGACTTGTTCATTCACTTTCTAAGTGTCGGTTTTCTGTGTGACAGCCTCACTAAACTCATTCTATTATGTTTTACAGTGGAAATTTGTCATCTTATGTAAAGCAAAAATCCCATACAGAAAAGACACTCAGAGACATCTGCTACTACTTTTAATGTTTTCTGTATTGTATTTCTGCAGACAACCACACAATGATGTCCTTTTCTGCTGTGAGTATTCGGATTCTGGATGTAAATGACAATCCTCCTGAGTTGGCTACACCGTTTGAAGCATCAGTATGTGAAGATGCCAAACCAGGCCAGGTATGTTTTTCTTTGACCAAGCTTATGTCTGATCTGATAGTATAATATCATCTCTATATTTTCATTTACAAAAGAGATAAATGATTGTTGCAACTTCAAAAGGAGCTGTTAGTAATGATGAAAAAATAGGACAGTGTCTACCAAATAATTTAAATCAATTAGATGAGAGCTTCTCAAAATGGGAGAAAATAAGTGTTAATCACAAAGGAGTCCATCAATTCTTTTTCTTCAAAGTGAAATGCGGTAATATATCACAACAACACACAAACCAGAAGGGAGGACACATTTATTGATGCATGTATTTCAGAGCCAATAATTGAGCTGAAGTCACATGAAATAATATCTGGATATTATACTAAGACAATAAGAAATTTAATCTTTCACATTGATACTCACAAACCATAACAATAGTGAACCCACTTCATATATTGTATGGTTTCAAATGAATTATCCTTGAATTATCATGGAAGACACATTCATTCCTGGTACATTGTAACTGGTCCTTCATTCTGAAATAAATTAATAAAAAAAATGAATAATAAAGTGAAATATTTTGATCATATTCATCTTTATGACAAGAGCTATTGAAAGAAAGCATCCTCATTCCCAACATAAGACATAATGAAGCAAATCAACATATTTAGGTCTATTATAGCACACAGAACTCCATGTACATGCTGTGCAAAGAGACCTCTGTGACAGCAAGTAAATGTGGCAAAAAACGACACTGTAGCCTATAGGACAAAGTGGCAGAAATACCGTATAGGAAATCCTGCGCTGAGCATGGGTTGGATTGTCCAAAGTCCTACGATGGACGAGAATGATAGGGTAAAGACAGTGGTGGCAGATGCTTCACTTCCAAATGACAAACAAAGTAAAAAGGGCTGAAATGGGCAGTTCAAACAATGTGGAAAGTGAATGAATGAGAACAATTTAAATAAGGCATTAGAGGTTATGAGACCTAGTTTGTGAGACTGACAGATCCAAGAAAGAGCATCAGATAACTCCATCCAAAGGGTGGAATAAGAGACTACTCAGACCCCTAAAACGATAAGGCCTCTGGTAGAGAGCACAAGCATGAAAAGTGCTTGGTCAATCAAATGAGGAGAAATATAATTGTAATAATCTAAGTGGAATGCACACCTGAATGAATGCAAAGTTTATGAAAGACATTAATCATCAGCTGCATCTGTCATTACAGAGAGTACAGCCAGACAAAATGAGTTCCAAGAAAGACAGATAACTTTTAGTTTTGCATAAATTCATGAAGGACAATAGCGTTAAAATGTATTCCTTAAGCTGTTCTTGTCTAGTTATTGTATCATGGCAATATTTTACACAGGTGTCCTATAGAATATTAACACTTAACCAAAACAGTTTTTTTTTCCTAATAAGCAAACATTTAAGTAACTGAAAAAACAGGGATGGTCATTTAAGATGAAAACTGTAGACCCCAAGATAGATTTTCATATGTGTTTTTATCACTCAAACAGTGGGAGCCTGTCTGGAAAATCAGGACAAAAGGCAGTGCTGCTTTTGAATCAAACCGAGGGTCGGGTCTTTCTACTAATCACCATTAAAAATGAACACACTCATTAGGGTGTTTTATTCACCTTATACAGCCAACAGGCCTTGGGCTGAGTTAAACCCAATTACCATGGGTTGAGCAAAGGAATAATTAAAACAGCAATGCTTTAAAGTGGGGCCTCCATGCTGGAAGCTGCATTTACATGTGTAATGAGGCACAGGCCTCTCCTCCCCTTGATCCATAGACTCTCAGACCACTTATAACCCCCCCTGTGCCCCTGTTTTGCCGCCAGTCTCCATAGAACGTTGTCTGGTCTGATCGCCCTCATTCTGTCTTTTCTCCTTTACCTTTCTGCGAGAACCCAAATTAACCTTCAGCTCATAATCACACAGAGGTGATTAGTCTTCCAGAAAAAAGACCACTGCAGGCTCCCAACATTGCAAAGGTTTTTCAGCGTTTTCATTAGAAAAATGCATATCTTTCAGGTCATAATAATTAACTAACAGTACTTAATGAATACTACAGGGTTACACTGAATGAGTTTATCATGAGTGTAGGATATTTTTATCAATATATCCATGTGTTTGCTCTTCATTTATGACTGTCGGTCTGTGATAATGAGAAACATTTCATCCCTTTTTTTTTTATTCTATGTCATGTTTGAAGTATTTTCTTCGTTGTGCAATGATAGTAATAGGAATCTTTTGTGCTTTGGCCTCTAACATCGCATAAAAATATTTTAGCAGTGGGTGTGGGACTGTTTGATGTTCAATTTCAGCCTCAGAGGTAACCCACTGGGCAGAATGAAAGAAACTATTTTATTCTGCTTGTATTTCTTCATTGATAGCGATAATAAAAAATCAGCCTGTTCTTGTCATTTCATAAAAAGGAGTGAGCAGTAAGATATTTTCTTTTAGTTGGAGGAATTTCCTTTCCTGAATTTGAGAGTAATTTCTTTTTAAGAAGACTTTAACCTGTGGATGTAAACAAATTTAAGCTTTTCGGCAGCTGCCTAATTACAATATGTGACATTATGGAATTACATACATATTTCCGTCTTCTATTTGAGTCTCTTTAGCCCAAATTTGTTTTGAATTGTGCATAATTTGCTCAAAAGCAGTAGATATATTCTAGCCTTCTTGTGTATGCATTATTTTCTGTACTTTATGGTAAATTACACATTGTTACACTTTGCAAATAGTGTTTGCTTAGAAAGATAAATTATATGTCATTACATACACTGTCAAAATGAATTCTTTAAAAAATGCAGACACAAATAAAGATAATAACAACACATTCAAGAAATGCACATTTCTGGCATTATGGATTTAGCAAAATGTAACTCCACACCAGAATAAATTAATCATATCTCAAAAAAGACTGATGTCAGATAATGCGTTTTCAGCCCTGCATTGAGCTCATTTTACATTTTTCACAGCAATGGAAATACAATTGAACAAAACAGCTGCACAGAACCACAGTGATGGCAAAGCTTGCACAAAATTGTGTTGTTTTTTTTGTGTGTGTCAGAAATGGTTGTATTTGTATGTCTTTTGACACAGTAAAGCTTTGATACAGGACATAGAGAGAGTTTTAAATCAAGGTGCATCCCAATTTCTTTTGTAGTTTACACCCTTTTTTAATTCTGTCTATTTACTTGGGCATTATTTATGTCTTGTCAGTCAAACAGCCATTGTTGTTAGAAAAGTATTTTTTTACTATTTTTATCCAGTAAATCCTGCTAGGGCTGGACTTTTTGTGCATTTTGATAGTCCTTCATAGATAGACTCCCTGTACCCATCTCTTCCTTGGGATTTCCTGCTTTTGGATCCTCAATATCAAGCTCATTCTCCAGATCCGTGACACAAGATTCTCATTTGTGAGAATTTTCATGGTGCCCTTTTACATTTAATATCAGTTCACGCAATATTAAAATTGCAGGGTTCTGTTGATGCAAAGAGCTGTTGCCTGATATGTTGAACCTCTTTGATGTCTACTGGTTGGAAAGATATACTTATTTATTCAGTAAAATAAGCTGCCAAAGGAAGAGCCCAGAAGTGTGTGCATCAGTCAACATTTGTTTGTGAGTAAAATGTGCATAGATTTGGTTTTGGTTCCCTAGAAGGTTGTTAAACAATGTGGAAGCTTGACAGACAAACAACTCTCGGAAATAGGAATAATTGTCCTTTTCTTTAAAACTTGGAAAACAGACATATTCAACACTGGTTCCCTGTTCTGTTTTGACCTATCCGTTTCTAGTAGATCTCAGTAGATGTATATTTTGTCCTGTGGCCAACTGAGCCAGAAAATGTTATTTTTGCTTTTTTCAATATTAAATATCGCCCAAAAAACACCTATTACTGGTAATAACAAAAATTACATTTAATTGCTTTGCTCTTTTTGCTTTTCACAAGAGCTGAATTGTAGATTTATGTTGCTAGTATAAATTGGCAAAACCCACTTGTGAAGGATTTTTATTACATGATTGATAGCAGGACTTGAATTTGGCTAATTAAAAGTAAACAGTAATTATTTTTTTACTCAGACCGTTCAATCAGGCTGTCGTTGAAACACAAGGCACACATAATGTATCCTTTTAAAGTGAATGTACTTGCTCTGTTTAGCCCACATTATCGTAATGCCAGTTTCTATGCAGACCCACGTTCCAGTGAAATAAAAGCAGACACCACCTTACATACGTTACCCACACCGCCTTCACTGTCACACTCTTAACATGTCAGATCAGAACACAGTTAGCCAAGTAAATGAGGGGTGTTTCATTGTGTCTTGCTTTGTGCTTTATCACGCGGAGCTCCCTGGCTCAGTTGTTGCTTTTGAACAGAGAGAACCAGATTTTTTAAAAGCCTTTAAACTGCATTTTAGTGTGATCCCATTTCAAAGCTGGTGGTACAACCTTTTTTTTTTTATTGTGTTAGTGCAAAAAATGCATTCAGCGAGATACAGAAGGGTGAAGTGAGAAGTAAGTGACATGGGATCAAAATTTTTGGCATAAATGAAATGAATTAAATATCCCCTGAATGAGGGAAGTAAGTGTTTTATATTTGTCATTGTTGCTGTAAAACTGAATTTCAACATAAATTAGAGCTAAGCCACTTCATTTAACTTTATTTTGCTTAAAAATAAAGCAACAGTGATGTTAAGAAGCCATTCACCATTTCAATGATTTTATGTAACAAGCATAGAAACAGTAAAAAAGTAGCTTTACACACATTAATTGGGAAGAAAGGATCTCAAACACCATAGTTCATTGTTATGCCTTTCTGTTTTTCAGTATTTTGTAAACTGTTTAAGAATGTACCATGCTTATTACCACCATTTTCAGTTTTGAAAGAAGCAAAATTAACAATCATAATGCAATTTAATGGAACATTTTTAGCATTTAGGAGTGTATTTAGTTTAAGATATTTCTCCATCTAGATATAAGAAGGTTTTGTATTATTAAATAATGTGGACCTTTGTTGACTGAATCAAGTCAAGAATACAATTCAACTTTGCT